TAATTAGATGATGTTTTAATAAAAATTATTTTGTGTTGTAAAGTTGTTAATTTATAATATAATACTTACAACCTGGTTATTATAAAAAAAATAAAAATATTTAATTAGATGATGTTTTAATAAAAATTATATTGTGTTGCAAAGTTGTTAATTTATAATATAATATACTTACGAACTGGTTATTGTAAAAAAATAAAAATAAAAGTATTTAAGTAGATGATATTTTATTAAAAATTATTTACGTTGTAAAGTTGTTAATTTATAATATAACACTTACCATCTAAGAAATAAAAAATAAAAATATTTAATTAGATGATGGTTTATTTTATGTTGTAAAAGTCAATTTATGATATGATACTTACATTCTAAGAAAAAAAGATAAATGTATTTAATTAGATGATGTTTTAATAAAAGTTATTCTGTGTTGTAAAGTTAATATCTAAATTTAAATCATTACCTTTATTTATAGCATTATCCTTAACTTCAACTATAATTTAATTAAACAAATAAAAGCATCACATTGAAAAATAATTAAATTCAGAAAATTAAAGTAAAATTTTATTAAAAAGTTATCAATGAAAATCTAGTTTACCTTGATTATCATCAACATTTGCTGAAAAATCCCTAGCAAATTTGTAAAGTTCACCAATAGTTGGTCTTTTAGACTGGTCAACATCCCAACACTCTTGCATCATTTCCGCATATTCTTCAGGCATATTTGGTAAAATTGATGGTCTTAAATCTTCTTTACAGATTTCCAAAATTAAACAATGATCATGGGCTATATTATCAAATGGTGGACTTCCAGAAAATATTTCCCACATCAACATTCCAATACCATAAACATCAGATTCTTTTGTATTTTTGCTTCTTTTTCGAAGAACCTCGGGTGCAATATATGGAATCATTCCATCCTTTTCATTTTTACCATCAACTGGTCCACACGATCCTAAATCTGTAATATAACATTTACCTGCTTGTACTAATACCTTCCCGCTATGTAGATTACGATAGATTAAACCTCTGTCATGTATATCACTTAATGATAAGCACAAAGTTTTAAAGAGTGTAATTCTACCACTCAAAGTCAACTTTGAATGATTATTTTGTAAATATTCCCTTAAAGTCTCTTGTTGGAAATAATCTGGCTCCCTTGCGTGCTTGCTATACTCCGGCTCGCCTGTATTATAGTATCTTATAGATACTAATGGTTCCAAGTCGTTAAGTATATAAATATTATCATGTATACAATTATTATAATTATTATCAAGTGCATAAGTATTACCATAATCATAATTACTATGTTGATGTATATAATTATTATTATTATTAAATATATAAGTATTATCAAGTTCCATCAGTGGCCAAGTTTCAACTTGAGATTGGTCAATAATGTCAATATCCATTAGTTGTCTCGTAATTTTTTTTTCTTTCAAAAAAGGAATGCTTCAAAAAACAGTAATAGTAACACGAGTATAATGGAAATTCTATTTATATCAGTCTGAGATTTCTTTTATTGGAAAGGTTACCGTGTTACGGTGCCTTACTAAATGTCGTAATTTTTGTGTGGATTTTTATATTTTGTGTTATATTTGAAATGTTTGGTTTCACGGGAAATAATTCGTTGTAAAGAAGACTCGGTTGAGACTTGTAACGGTAAATTCAGTTTACCGTGAATGTATTTTGTCTAATGGATAATGGTAGTGATCTCAATAATTTCCTGATGTTTTAAATGTTGGAAGCATTAATTATTTGAAAAAAAAGTTTTTAAAATTTTTATAAAGTTGACACGACAGCATTTGAAAGGAAAAAGAATCATTAACGCAAAAAAAAAAATTGGTTAATTATTTAATTAGAATAGTAAAAATACATTATATTACACACATAAATACACATATATGAGAATAATTATAATAATTATTGATGCTGCGTATTCACTCAGTTTATTATAGTCAGAACTACTTGGCATTTCAATAATCTTTCCAGCCTTAGATTTTCTACGTTTTAAAATATAAAAAAAAGCTACAAGTATTCCTGAAATTATAACAACCAAAGATGCTATTTCTGCGATTATACTTGGTACAAAACCACCACCACCATTAGTTGAGGTGGAATTATTGTTGGTATGTGATGAGTTGTCTGAGTTGTATTGAAAGTTTGTCATCCATGCATAAGATTTGTATCAAACAAAAATATTTCTCTATTTAAATTTCCAAATTGTATAGTTAAAATTTCTAACAAAAAAAAAATATATTATATGCGGTGACATTTTGACATTTACAAGAATATTTTATCGGTTGCACGTGATACTAATAAAAAAATAAAAAAATTAATCATTAGTGCTGATCCATTTTTTTTAACAATGCATATATAGACGATTAAATTCACTACATAGTAAACATATAATTTTTTTTAGTAAATAAAATTTTTTTTCAGGTGATATTCTTAGCAATACTTTGTATTTTCATAAAAACATATTTTTTAAAAAAAAAAAAAATTTTTTTTGTTGTATATTCTTTACATTGTCTACCAAATCGTCCCAGGGTAAGTTTCATAATATAAAAAAAGTCCACCAAATCGTCCCACTATATACTGTAGGACAAAAATACTATAGAAATAGTCAAATAACTGATCTATATACATTTAATTTTAGATAAACATAAATATATATATACATGCATAATTATAAAAATGAACCAAATCCAAGTCCAAGTAAGTAGTTGACAACTGTTTACTGTTTTCTAGCTTCTTAATCTAATAGTTTTTATATTCTATTTTTGTAAATTAGAACCAAATTTATAAGTGCAATGCATAATTATAAAAATGAACCAAATCCAAGTCCAAGTAAGTAGTTGACAACTGTTTACTGTTTTCTAGCTTCTTAATCTAATAGTTTTTATATTCTATTTTTGTAAATTAGAACCAAATTTATAAGTGCAATTTGTGTCAAAATGATTATGAGTATAAAAACATTAATGGTTTACGAAGACATGAAGCTCAAAAACATAAAGAATATAACAGTCCACCTGTAAGTATATTATCATTAGAAGTTCCTGAATTTTTGGTTGAGCAATTTAAACAAGAAATTATATCTGGTTTTTGGAGTTGCTACAAAAATAATAGAAGTGGAAGAGGATGGAAGAAATTTGTTCTAACTTGTCACAAAGCTGTATTTGTTCAAATATTTAGTAATCATATAACAAGATATTCAAGTGTTGATAGGTGGTATAGATGTGTTTTTAAAGGAATGGAGGGGAAAGAAAATTTAAATGAATGTCTGGGGTCAGAAGATTGGGCCATTAAATATTATGAAAATAATGAAGCTGTTTTTTCAGATATATGTACAAGATCAGAAGGTAGTGGAGATATAGTATTTATGTGGAAGGAAATAAAAATCATAGATAATAGGGGAAATGAAACAATAAGTAATAAGTTTACTGTTAAGTTATGTATAAATAGAACTACATTAGAAGAAAATAATAATAATGTACTGTATAATATTTTTTACTAATAAAATTATTATATTTTTTACATAAATTTATCAAAGCATATCTTGAGAATGATCCAAACAAAAATCTATTTGATGGTGTGAATCATCCAAAAAATAAAATACTAAGGCTTGATCATCAGGTATTTTAAAATGCTGAACATTATATTTTTACATGTTAATTTTAATAGCATTCTCTAATTAATGAAATTCTGTGCGTTTTTGTTCAATATATATAATTAAATTTGCATTGCAATAAATTTTTAAAATTTTGCTTCATGTATAAATATAAATTATTAATAAAAAAAAACTATTTATATATGATTTACTGCCAAAAAATTCCTTCTCATGTATGCAATTATTAAACATGTGAATTTATTATTTTTCTCAAAAAATGTAGCAATCTGTCACAATGTAGCATGATGTTAGCATTACACATATATTTAGAAAGGAAAAAAATAAATATTGCTTAATCAATGAATTTCTGGTATATATATATATATCAATTTTTTTTTTCATGCTATTGTGAGATCAAAAATTCCGTCTCACACAAATCTCTTGGACTTGGTTATAATATTATTTATCCCTTCCTATGGCAGTATCCAGTTGTGTAATTCTTTGATTACTTTCTTTTCTTTATAGCGTTCAAGCTATTTAACTCTCTGCAGGGTAAGTTTTCTTACTTCCCGTCCGGTAACGTTTTCTCAGCAGTTGCTATGTTTTCTGCCTGAGCCGGAACGTGTCAATTATTATCCCTTCTGATAATAATCCCAGTATCTTCCCTGATACTGTTGTGTTATG